CGATGTGAATGAATATTTAACTGTTATGTACTGGAAAACACAAAACGTGGCCATCCCCTTGGGGAGGACCTTACAGCTTTCTCCGATGTCCCCTTCCCTCTGGCAGCCTGAGCGTTCGGGTTATTTTTTTTCTGTTCTGCAGAACCACAAATATTTTAGCAAGGTTTGTATGTCCTGGAGGGGATGGACACCCCTCGTCTCCAAAGAAGAGCTGCGCCTGGGTTAGCAGTTTTATGTCTGGAGCACATTTGTCCAACACACACACGGATCTGGGGTACCGATCCTATTTGCACAAAGAAAGGGAGATGTGCTAGAGACAGCCACGCAGTCTCTGACTCTTGCTAACAGTTTCATTGGTTTGGGGGTTTTTTTCTGGTTTACTGTGCCCTGTGTATTATTTCATAACATCTCGTACCATCCAGCTATTCCTGTCCTGTTTTGGTATTTGTCTGAAGCCTAACTTCCAGCTTTCACCCGCAGAAGACGTATCTTTCAGCTATTGCAAATGAGTGCCTAATGTTCATTTGAAGGGTTTTGCTTTTCCTTTCCAGCCAAACTGTGCTCCAGCCTTGCTTTTCTACCGAAATCTCTTCACTGCTCCTGTTGGCTCCGTTTGTGTATGAACTGCAGAACAAAAATAAGTAATTGAATGTCCTTTGCAGGATGTTTGTGCTCTTCCTTCATCTTCACAGCTCATTGCAAACTCAGACATTGCCTATGGCTTTTCAATATGTTTTTAAAACCATGGATTTCCCATGCATGTAGGGAGAGCTGTAGAATTGAGGTCGCTTTCAAATAACACCAAACTGAAAACAACATTTTTTTTTCTGACTGTTACTTTCTTAATCTAATTTCTATTAAATAGTTAAAGGAAAAAAAACCTCAGGAGTGCATGTTCAGGCAGAAATAAGGTTCATTTTGGAGGAAGAAGAAACAGATAATATAAACACACAACCTAAGCTCCCCAGCCTTTACTTGTAATGCTGCTTGCAAGCTGAGCTTCAGAATTTCACAAGCTGTGTCTGTATAAAGGCAAAAAGTACAGTTTCAGGCTGTAGCACTGATTTTGTAGGTAGACAGTCCAGGATTTCGCCCGTGCCCAGGCTATTGGCACAGGCAGTCTCACTGCTATGGTGACTAAAACCCACGCTGACGACTTTTTGCATTCATACATGTATCCTCTTTTCTGCTTGCTTGCTAGCGGGTGGTCTGCTTGCTACACAAAACAACATACCTCTAGTTTTGGAGGGTGTTCTGATTTAGTTTTTTACTATATTACTACATTATTATATTATAGTTTTACTGTTGTGTGTGCATGTTCTGTTTTGGGTTTGGTTTTTTTTTTCCCTTCCCTGTAATAACAATAGAGAAGGAGCAAAAAACATTTCTGTCATGTTACGACCTGTGGGAAGAAATGCATGATCTGTCTTGCCCAGCACCTGACTGTTGTGGAAAAAGCAGACTTAGACACTAACGGCAGTGTGCCTGAGATGCCGTCTCCCAGTCAGAATAACATCAGTAACTTCTAAAGAGATTCCTGCTTTCCCCTCCAGGAAACAGCTGTAAAACATGATCTCAAGCATAGTTAGTTGTCTTGACTCTACATACCCTATTCCATAAAGCGGTCCTTAGCTTTTTTTTTATCCTTTTCCATAAAGAGGTCCTTAGCTTTTCTTAAGGTCTGGTGCCCTGAATTAATCCGAAAAGCAGAAACTTCTATATACAAACAATAAACAAATCAATTCTGTGCGTAATTTCCTCATTTTGAAACATCGCATTTTGATTTCCATCACCTTTATTTTTTAATTTTTTAGTTTCAAAATGTTTCAGATTTCAAAATTTGCTTTGAACAGCAGATGCACAACAGTTCATGCAGGAAATGTCAAATTGAAATGTTTCCACATAAACCAAATTTTAAAAATTGTTTCCTTTCAGTAAACCTTTTAAAAATCACCCCTCTTAGCAGAAGCATCGGTTCAGATAAACTGGCATTTTTGACACAAAAACTTCTCAAAATTCTTGACAGCCCTCCTCTAGAAGTTGGGGATTATGAATCAAGACTGGGAATGAAAAATCTACAGAAATTCACCCTAGGCAAAGAACTTCTTAATCCTAATTTATTCTTTTTGATGCTGAAGATCTGTGAGGTTTGTCTTTGCCCATCAGTGCCCTTGGACACATATGAGATGCTCACAAAGTGGCATTTACTTGGTCCTTAAGACATATTTGTCTTACCGCTCATCAACACTCCTTTGGGGAAAAACTTCTTCCATTGCTGAAAAGCTCTGCAATCACATATGTGTACTTTATCACAGCAATGGCAGAGAAAATGCACTACCTGCCCCTATTCTCCCTCAGGATGCTGATTGTTGGCTACCCCCGCTTACCACCAATTTGGGGTCCTAATTTTATAAGGTTCTTTCAGCTCTTTGTTCTACTATGAAGTACTGTGAATTTCCTTTCTGTTGTTCTACTGCCACATCCAATTGCTCTAAGTTACTTTAAAGAGGTAAGACAAGGCAAATAATTACTTGCATCTGGATGAAAGTGTAACAATATATTACAAAAATAATAGTTTGATTCTGCCTCTTTGTATTTCTCCCCTATATTGACTGCCAGAAACTGATTTGCTACTTCGGGAGTGAGAAAAAATCAAACTTGTTAGCTTCAGATTTAATGAAAGCCTCTCTCTTTTCTCTTTTATTGCTTCTCTACTGATAAGAGTCTTTGTCTAAGCTTTCCTCCTAAAAGCACAGATGTAAAGCTTCTGGCACACCAGATATTCTTCTTCATGTCAATTTTCATGTTAATTTTCTATGGGTTTGAGACAGGAAATGCTCTAACGCCATTTCCAGTGTGTGTTGCAGTGTTTGCTCCAAGCTGGTATTGCTGAATGACTGAAAAAAGACTGTCAATTCCAAAGTTGTTACTCTGTGGGTTCTTCAAGGAATTCTTAAGTCAAAGCAGACTCTGGGTTTCTTTTAAATATGGTAAAATTGCCATGAATTCACCATGAAGGTGAAGAGGAGAGCTTTACAGTTTCACCAGGACAATGCGGCAGTGACTGGCTGTTAGAATAGCGGTATCTGCCCAGTCTTCTCAGGCTGCCCAGAGCATCCTCCATCCAGCTCGTCTTCTGCTGCCCAGCTGCAGAAAGATACAGGCAAAATTCCTGAAATGTCATTCCAGCTTGTTTTCTATTTGGAAGTCTGTTTACTCATCTGGAAGAAACGGATATACCTCCTATACCTAACCTGTGAATTTCTTCACTCCTATACCTAACTTGTGAATTTCTTCAACAAAAGCAATTGACAAACCTGCCTCATTCAAAAAAGGGATTCACAGGAAAGGGATTTTTATTTTTAGCTTTCAGGGAATACAAGGAGCTGGCAACCAAAATAGCAGCAGATGGGAATCCTGTTGTCTCTGCACAGGAAGAACCTTCAAAGGCCTTGGGCCATCTTTCCATCTCAGCAAATCCTTACTTGAGCTTTCAGTCACATTTTGGAATATGTGATCACCTTCAAACAGTTTGATAAAAAGTCAAGCAAACTGGGTAGAAACTGCATGGTGTGTTAGGGCTGTTTTCCCCTCTACTAGCAACCGTTTCTTCCGGATGAGTAAACCCTGATGAAGGGAGGCCTCCCTATGTATTTCAGCTGTTCCGTGTCTTCCCTTCTTTATCCACTAATTCCTGGCATTCCTTTGCATTTTTCTCCCATGCTGAGTCCTCACCTGGCATTTCTGAGGACTATCCGCTGCGGCCCCAAGATCTTTTTTCCTGAGTGGCAATAGCTCATCATCACATAGGTAGTTTGGGCTGTCCCCCTCCCCCTGAACACTGCGTTTATTGATACAGCCTGTCACCTGCCATAACCATCCCTCTGCTGCTTCTCGCAGCCAGCTTTCAGTCTGACCACCCAGAAAAACTCGGTGGGTCACCAAACTCCATCATTTAGGACGAGAGTAAACGGCCTCCAGTTGCACCAGGGGAGGTTTAGATTGGATATTAGGAACAAGTTCTTTACTGAAGGGGTTGTCAGGCATTGGAACAGGCTGCCCAGGGAAGCGGTGGAGTCACCATCCCTGGAGGCGTTCAAAAAATGCGTAGACGTGGCACTTCAGGACATGATTTAGTGGGCATGGTGGTGTTGGGTTGACGGTTGGACTCGATGCTCTTAAAGGTCTTTTCCAACCTAAACGGTTCTACGATTCCGTTACTCAGTCCCTTTTCCTGGAAAGGCTCAGGCTGCCCAAAGGATCCTTCCACAGCAGGTGAAACAGGCGGGAAAGTGGAGAGTCCCTCGGTGCGTTCCTCCCCTCGAGGTGCTCCCCTTCAGCCGCTGACAGAAGACTGTGCAGCTTTTCACCTCATGGCAGCCAAGATGGTTGGCGAGTCTTTGGCGGCGGACTCCCCAGAAAGTCCTTTGAAATGTCTCCTACACTGACCAAGCAACCTTCCTCCTCCTCAACCTTCCTCCTCCGCAACCTTCCTCCCCCGCAGAGCCCCTCACACAGTGCTCTAACCGGGTCGGGCTGAAGTCTGACATGGCGCCGGGGAATCCAGCCCCCCCTCCTCGGCTGGCAGCCCGCGCTCCTGTGGAGACCCGACCGCAGGTTCCCTCACACCCCGGGCCTGTGAAAGAAGGGGACGGGGCTGAGGGGATGGGGAGGGGGCTCCCTGCTTTCCACACGAGCACCTCCACAGAGACCGACCCACCGGTGCCCGGTCCCCGCTGGGCGCCAAGAGGCAGGACAGCGCGGAGACCGGGCCCTGCCCGCCGCCCGCCCGGCCCCGGTTCCCGGGCTAATTATTAAACCGTCCCCTCAGCCGAGCCCCGAGTAGCCGGACCCCGCACTGCGGACTCCCGCCCTCGTTAGGGACCAGCGGGCGGGCACCGACCCCCCCCCCCCACCCCCCCCGTTCCCCCCTTCCCCCCCCACCCCCGCCCCCGGGCCTACCGGCCACACCGCGGCGGGGAGCCGCCGGTCTGGCCGCCATGGAGGGTGAGGCGAACGGGACCCTCCACCCGGAGTCCTGCGGCTCCGGCCAGCCGCCCTACTCGCGGGAGCTTCTCCAGAGTAAGTGCGGCAGCCTGGCATGGCTGAGGTGAGGGAGGGAGGCGTGAGGGAGATGGCGGCGGGGAGGAAGGGGGGGGCTGCCCGCCAGCCCGGCTGCTCGCCGGCCGGGTCTCAGGGCTTCCCCCCCGCCGTGAGGAGATCTAAGATGGGGAGATGGCCCCGGAGAGGTGGTCTGGAAGGGTTGGGGTCTTCTGAAGCGGGTTCAAGAGGCTGAGGCAAAGGCTGAGGTTTGCAAGGCGCTGCTCGGTGTGCCTTTAGATAGGCTGGAGTTGGTACCAGAGGTGAGCGTGAACTTCTCCTAAATTAAGCGTGGCTCCACAGCAGTGCTCTCCTCTGTCCCCAGAAGCAGCTTTCTTGGGAGAAAATACACCTCAGCCATCAGCCGTGGGTAAAAGTCGATACCCACACCCGGTGTCAATGGAGAGTGAAACCCGTCAGCTGTGGGTAAATGTTGATACCCGCACCCAGCATTAGGGGAGAAGTAAAAAAGAATTTGGCGAAGGCGTCAAGTGTCATTTCAGGCTAGATACATCAGGGGCTTATCCTCGCATTGTTCCTGTGCCTCAGAAACTTCCACCGAGCCTCTGAAAAGTTTGCGTGCCCAAGGAAGTTAAGCACAAACATGCCTATGAACATACAGTGGAAGCAAAGTACTAATATTGAATAAATATATTTTTGCTTGTTGTCTGCCTGGAAAAAAGTTCCCAGAATATGTGTTTATTTATTTATATTATGTATTTATTTATATTCTGTTACGTATTCACATCCATCTAAGGACATTTGTCCTGGAACTCCACCTTTCTGAAGGGGACTTTTGCATAATGCTTTGAGAACACGGAGGCATATTCTTCCTGTATGCTGTCTGTGGATCCTGGAAAGATTTAGTCATGAACTTAAGTTTAAGTATTTGAATCATCCTGTGAAGTCAGTGGTCTGTCTGTGTAGCTAAGGATGAGTGCAAGCTGTTGCAGAAATAGAGCTAAGAAGCCCCTCAGAGATGGTGTCTTTACATTAAATGTTTGGAATGCTTACGAAATAAATCAGAACTGTACGTTTTCTTTTCTCTCTCTGCAGGCCTTGACCTACCAGGGAGATTTCTCTTTGCAGTCTTGACTCTGATGACACTAATTGCCAATCTGGTGTTTATAGAGGAAGCGGCCTACATCTACAGGAGAATTCCCTCCTTCAAAAGATCAGTGATAATTTGGATTAATGCTGCAGCTCCAGTAAGTTACCATGGAAAAGTGATGAAATTGAAAGTAGGGTTTTGCTGAAAATCCACATGAACCGGCTTTATCTCTGCCCTTGGTACAACCCTCCTCCCTTTCCCTGTAGGTGATTGCTACTACTTCGTGCATTGGCATGTGGATTCCTCGCTCGACAATGTTTACAGATTTCACAGCAGCAGTGTGAGTATCCTGCTTGTTTCTAGACGTTGCCCCAAACCCTGAATTTCTTCCTTTTAAACATCTGCTGCTCTTGGTAAACACAGTCATTTTGTAAATTTAACAATTTAGTAATTTTTGGTTTGAGTTGAAATCTCTTGGCAGCTCTTTTCTGGGAGGTGGAAAATGCTGAAGCAGTTCCCAGTGCTACAGTCCCCTAGTGTGGGAACCTCAGTATGAAAGATCTGTGACTCGCATGTAATTGATCCCTTGGATTGACAGTAGCTTTGAAGCAGTACTCTTTCTTTCCGCTCTCTGCATGTCATGTGGAATGAGATTCTGACCTGTGACTTCTTCGCTGCGCTTTTACTAATGATGAACCGTGGAGGTCTATTATTAATGGTGGCAAGTGAACCTCCGATGAGTATATCAATGTAAAAATGTTCCACAGTTCTCCTGATAAAAGCACTTTCTGTACGAGCATGACAGCTCTGACGTGCACAAAGAAGGGAGAAATGTGGTCCTTGCTTTCTGGAGGTGATGGCGCAGCCCTGGTAGGCAGAGCCAGGTGGGGGAATGCCGTGGCCTTGGGCACTCCGCAGTTGATTTTGGGATGATTTTGGAACCCACTGCAGGACAGTGTCACAGACTCTCATGAATAGCCTCACCCCACGTCACACTGCATTTACTAAGAGAGTAGAGTAAAAAAGGAGGGAAAACACAGTAGCAGGGAGCATACAGCAATTTGTGCAGGGAGTGCAGATTGCCAGCAACTTCCAAGAATCCAGTCCTGTGGCACTTCAAGCCTGTCTGAATCCCTCCCCCCTCCCTTGCCCAAGCTGCAGGTTCCTGTCCCCTCACTTGCTGCTACTACCACTCAGTCTCCAGCTGCACAGCAAGCTGCTTCAAGGAGGCAGTGCAGCTGAAGAGGACCTCTTTTATTTGGTGAGGTTGGATTTCAGTGAAGCCGTTCCCTAAATCGGTTAGGGACAGGGAGGAAAGGGCGGTTGCATGATCTATAGTTCCTGGGAAGGGTTGAGAATGTGCAGGCGGTGAAGGAGGGAGAGGTGGGGATCAGCTTTGGCTGCAGAGGAACCGCACCCTGACTGGGCCACACATTTGATGATAGCTATATATATATATACATGAACCTAGCCATGTTTGCTGGGTTGTTTTTTATTTTAGAGGAGGAAGTGGACTTGTTCTAAAGAGTTTGGACCAGTCAGGACTAGATAACTGATGGAAAAATATGGCTGTAATGACTTGGGCCAGAAAAACCTGTGCTTTAATACTGACTCTGCCAACCAGTCACCAGTGCAGCTTTAGGAAATTCCACAGCTGCTCTGTGCCTCAGTTTATTCCTCTTTCGGTGAGGTTAGGGCAGTTCTGGTCCTCCAAGGTGATGGAAAGCAGTAGTGCTAGAATTTTTGTTGATCGCAAAGCGCAAGCTGTAAAAACCCTGGACAGAAGGCGGCACTGGCCTGCGCAGGCACGTTCAAGCTGGCATTTTCTTCCTCTCCTAGATTTTTTGCCATAGTTATCCACAAGTTCCTGATGATGATGATTAAAGAGTGCGGAGGTCAAAAGCTGCTCCTCAAGCGTTTTGAAAATGGTCACTTCAAGATCAGCACCGGTCCCTGCTGCTGCTGCTGCCTTTGCCTCCCTCGTGTGCGCATCACTAGGTGAGTTGTCCTTTAAGTTTTCCCAGCTGCAAAACGGCTGCTGGGATTCAGCCAACTTGGCAAGGCCAAGCTTACAGCAAAGGCCCTCCCCGCTTCCCGAAAGTCAGTCTCAAGCTGTCTCTCTTAAACAGTGCCATCGCTTTGGGGCTGTACACCACCACTGATTTATTTCATTTTTATAGTGCAGAATTTTGCATAAGAGTCGAGAGTATGAGCTCTCTCAGTTTAACCCAGTGCAGTGTTCCCACTCATAGTAATGTTGTGCACTGCGGCATCTCCCCAACTAATCCCATTCTCTTCCAAGAAACCATTTCTGTAGTAAGCAGTGGTGTGTGGGAGGAGGAATTTCTACCGTAGAAAACCTAGTAATTGAGATTTCAGTTTCTTTTTGTTCCAGAAGGGAACAAATGTCTCCAAATTGGGTACTTTACACGAGCAGAATTGTCAAATTGAGGCTGTCTTGAAAGAAAATTTCTCTTATTTTGATGAAATTGAAATGTTTCATTCTAATTTTGACTTTAAAACTACTTCAGATTAAAAGAATTTTTAGAACAAAAAATAGCTGTAATTCCTGGAAAGCTTTGATCTCAATGAAATGGCATTGTCTGGTGAGGCAAAAGCAAATATTTTCTTCTACTAAACTTAGTATTAATGCATCTTTGAGAAGCGGGGTGAGGATGGAGAGCTGCACTGATGGGAGGCTGTATACTGTAACATAAACTCTGCCTCCTTTGAGCACTGTCTGGTGGGGCTCCTCCTCCGGCTAGTGTCACCCTGTCATTTACACGCTGCTCCACAGCCTGGAAGCCTCATGTATTTCCCAGGGCTTTCCTGCTGGCACAGAATATGAGAATGTTTCTCTCAGTAAGAGCAAAAGCTGACGGATTGAATGTGCAAGACAGAGTTTTCTATGAGGGCCCGGACATCGGTGTCAGAGGGTCCTTAGGGACTTTATGGTCTGGTTAAATGAAAGTGGCAAGTAGAACACAGCATAGCGGTTTGTGATGCATTTGCAAAAACATTCTTATTTTTTATTGTAATAATTCTTCCTTAAACTGCCTCATTCGGTATTGGAATTTAAAGTCTTGTTTCCATCATTTTATTTTAATGGAATAACGCTAGTTATTTACATGGAGCGGGCACCGAGAAGAATAGGTAGTAAACCAACCAAAAAATGTACCTCCAAAAATGGATGTAATACAATGATGTAAAATCAGCAACTACCGATAATGACTCTGACTAATTTTCATGGGCATTGGTTCAGGCTCATTTCAGCAGTCAGAGCTGAAGAAATGCCGTGGGACAGAGCTGTGCTATAGATCTGACGTGTCAGCAGTATATTTGTTTTTCTTTCCATCTCTGTCACCCTCTGTATAGGTTGTGGTGGCTGGGAGCTTGGGAGAGGATCCTCTACTATGTGGTCCTTTTAGTCAGTCCGGTGACAGCTTACGCAGAATGATATTAGCTAATATTAACTCTTTTCAGGACCTAGATATTGCCTACTACTGCTGGGGGGAAGGACAGCTGCCTGTTCAAAAAAAAAAGGCTTTTTGCTTTACAGAGGGCTTAGGGCTCCTTCTCCAGTGTCTGTAGCACTGGGAATCCCATCTGCTGTCTCTGCCTCTGACTTCTAGCCTTTTCCCATTACAGGGTACAATTTTTTTGAAATATGAGCAAGCTATACCAGAGAAAGGTCAGTCTCATATTCCTCCCATAGGTATCTTATGGGGAAACAGGGAGCTACTCCAAGGGAGGGATTCATTCTTTTAAAAAACCATATACTATTGAGAATTCCTGAGAAAACTAACAAGGTACAGTAGACAGATGAGGCAAAGTAACAAGCCATACAATGGGGAGAGGTGTGACAGAAGAGGTCTGATGGTCAAGAAAGATAGACCTGCATTGACAAGGGAAACAACTTGGGGTGTTGCAGTGACTGCGCTGTTTGTCATATTATTCTTTATAGCCCTTTGGGAATAATAAATCTATGAAAAGGCACACACACTAAATGGCTGGCCAGTTGCAGGCCTTTCCACATGTGTTTGTGCCACTCATAATCCTGTGGTTATTAGTTATATTCATTGAGCAATTCCTATAATTACTCGTTCATGGCTATATCCTGTAGCATACTAAATGGCAGCCTGTTGTCTGCTGAGGCATCTCTGATGGCAGTCTCAAGGGTCCAAGGAACTACATTGAAGACAACATTGACAATATGGGAAATAATACACATTAATAGACTAAAACATGAGCCAGCCGTAGCAGCGACAGCTTGTCCTGTGAAGGCTGAAGCAGAGTTCAGGTCAGTCAGCTTTCATGCCCTCTGTTAGAAAGTGCATCTGCCCCTTTCCTGGTGGCCTTTAATGCTGGCTGGCCAGGTTATTGTGTATGGGCTGTGTTCTGGATCCAGTTTATACTCACAGAAGTGAGGAAATCCTGAGCTGTCCTGCTGGCCTCGTGCAGTTTGCCAAGTGAAAGATAGTTCCTTTCTTCTGTTAGAGTAGAGAGGAGCAAAACCAGATGCTTATGTGGTAGTATTCATGATGCACTGAAAGACTGTAAGTCCTTTCACCTAGATCTGTATGATTCCCTTTCTTGATCTGCCACAGGACTAGGAAGTGTCTGAACAGAAAGGCTGAATTGTCCAATTTCATCGCAGAACTGAAATAGTAAGGGAACAAGGCAAGAGAAAGTGGCATTATTGTTCAGAAACCGGTTATGCTGCTACTGGCTCTCTGGTTAGCTTCAGGGCAGAGAAAGACATCACGTTTTGCCCAGCTTTGGTTAGTATGCAATTGCTGCAGAACAAGAAAAGTGCTATCTTTGTAGAGACTTTACTAAATAAACACTGGGTAATTCTTGGAAGGATTTTCTTATCTTGAAGCTGTTCCTCCCCAGATTTTAGCCGCATGCTATAGGAGTGGGAAAGTTTTGCAGCTGATGTTATCCAAAAATTGTTATTGAAGTTGCTAATAAGATCTTGGCCTATGCGATTTTTTTGTTGGTTTTTTTCCCAGACGAACTCTCTTTTGGCTCAAGCTGGGCACCTTTCAGTTTGCTTTCCTTCGACCCGTGCTCATGTTTTTATCAATAGTGCTTTGGACTAATGGCAATTACACCCTTTACAATGTAAGTAAATATTTTAATCAGAGCTGGTCCACAAAATCCGTAGATTTTAGGGTTGATGTTAGTATCTTAGCCTACAGCTAAACTGTGAAATGTGGGAGCACTTCCAGGTAAGTCCTTACTGTATTCTTTTGAGACCCTGAAGCATATAATTTCTGCCTTCCCCCAGACTCTCCATTTCCTGGCTTCCCTTGGAAAGAAACTGGGCATCAGGGTGGGTTGGGCATCAGATTATGCTCTAATATGTTTCCCAGCTTGTATGATTAGAATATAGCGGGACTGCAAGTTGCCCTGTGGGATGTACTGGCCCTGTGTTTTGTAAGGTACAGCCTTAAGAAACAAGTGTATGTACTGGCATCTAAACAGGAAGCCTAATTCTATGTTTTTTCTGCAAATCATGGTGATTTTTATATCTGTGCAAAGTAGAAAAGATAGCACTGTACTTCTGCTTTGTACCATGTAAGTTGCAAGATGATGGAGAAGTCTGTATCTGCTAATAATTTTGCACCTCTTGGATAACTCAGATTGAAAGTAATACATTTTTTTGTTGTTTTATGGTATAAAATAAATTACCCCTCTGAGATGTCATGCTGAATAAGCTCTCATGAGCTGCTGAGCATTCCCAGGTGCTGCTGGGGCCGGATTGAGGGGTTGTGTCACTTGTTACCTTCCCAGGATGAACAGATTTACATGTCCCTGCCTGCCGGGTGAGAGCACTGTGCTAACACTCCAGTTGGTACTGTGCAATTTCCCCATGCAAACCCCAGCAGCTGCTGCTGCCATCAGCTTTCACGGAGATAAAAACAAGCATTTTAACATCTGCATCATCCAGTTCACAACTTCTTCCTGGAAATAGTAAAATGCACTGTAAAGTTTTGTAGGTACGCCTGTTTGATCTGCTTCTTAGTTATCTCCCAAAGGAGCTGCAATATGGATTAACTGCTTTGTTGGTGTCCTCACCATTATTGCTCTGTGGCCAGTTGCAATCATGTTTCAACAAGTTAGGACTCTCCTTAACTGTAAGAAGATCATCCCAAAGTTTGCTCTTTATCAGGTGAGAAGTTTAATATTTCTGATAAGAATTGCTCTTAACGGCTAATATAACACCGTCTCTCTGGTTCTTGGTTCTTTGTTGAAAAGTTACAGTATTTTTTTTTTTCCCTGTGCAAAGGCATATTTTTACCTGATTAAAGCTGCATCCCTTTGAAGCACTCTCCTTGGCTGCTGTTCAGTTTCAGCTTGAGCCAATTTACCTCTGGTCTCTCAGGAGTGCTGGAGATGTGAAAGCTGCGTAAAATCCATTTATCTTTAGGCAACTGAAATCAAAACAGCACCTTCTGCGGGGCCTGAAGGAAGCTTTGTAGATGCAGTATCCTGAAACACAATCTTAAAATGCTGGTGTGTACTTTTACAGACTAGGAGAGGATGTGGAGCATTGTGTGGGTGGCTGTTGTTCAAACTGTTTCAGCATATCACAATGTTCTGCTCTGACAACATTTTTCTTGGCCATTCTGCACTTCAGAGTTAGATAATAATGAAAATACTGACTGGGAATCATTAAATAGTAAGGAACAGAACCAGATAGGTTAGAATAAAAAAGCCCAGGGACCGGGCCACCCTCTTCTACATCAACCTGAAGAGAGTACAGCAGAACCCTTGGATACGCATCCTTCTTAAACAGGACCTGTAGAAAGGCTGGTGCGCTAAGGTTTCTATTAAATAAATTATTAAGCACTTATAAATGCAATAAACAGGATAGTCACACCTGCAAAGCTGCATTAGGGTGAATCCAGGTTTAGGATGGCAAACTCTCTTAATGCGAGGGTTTATACTCAAACAGTTGCACCAGCAGCTAGAGAGACACTTTTGATATCTCTGAGGCAGCAAAGGCCTAGCTCAGCGAATAGCAGGTAATATCACGCGTAAGTGATTGCTGCTGAACCCAAGCTGCGAAGAGTCCTTCATCCCTTCTGGCAAAGAAACCAGTCTCATATAACTTGAGGAACACCACATCTCCCTGCTGTGGCAAAAAGAGGAGACAACAGAAAAAACGTTCTTTGTGAGTCCTTCCTCCACTAAGGGAGAACGTAAGCTCATAGGTCAAATTAACAGGAAGTTTTTAAAACATCATTGCCTATTATTCAGAGCTCAGTACTGTTTAAAATCCCAGCTGGGAGGTCTGCGTATATTGCACCTACCAAATGAAGGGCAGAGAAGAAAGACTTTCCAAGCAGAGGTTTGATATGATACTTAAATTCAGAGCAATATCATCCTGAGCTAAAGATGAATTCTGCAGAATGGCAGGCAGCCTGCTCGTAGATGGGAGGAGAGGGAGGGCAAGAAAGGAGGAATGAGGCAAAAGAGGGTCCATTACGAAAGCAGAATTGTTGTGTGAACTATAAACCTTTTTCTGGTAGCTGAGGCATGTTTTCTCTTTCTGGTGCAGTTTATTCTCATCCTGAACCACTTGCAGGCAGCTATTATCAACATCTTGGCCATGCAAAGAATCATTCCCTGTGCTCCACCACTCTCCTCTTCAGCAAGAGGAGCATGTAAGTTCTTCCGGGAAAGATCTTCTTCATTTACTTACAAAGGTGCCAGCTCAGTGTTGCTAACTGCTATATATGGTGTTTTCCCAAAATACTAATTTCCTGGGATCATGTAGCTTTTGCAGAATCTCAGCTTTTACTTAACAAACAATAACAAGAGTTTCATAGCTGTCGTAGCTGCAGAGAAAAGCTTGATAATGAGAAGAGTTGGAATCAGAAATGAGAAGAAAATAAACCAATGTGCATAGTTACTGTTAAATCTCTTGCGTTTTGGATGCATAACTTATTGCATGCTTATTGATGGGCAATACTGTAATTCTGTGACTGATTTTATTGCCAAGTGTGAGAGACGCTCCGTTATGGGGACAGGATGGTAAAGCTTGTTCCTTTTGCACAGATGAAAATTGATAACCCAGGTATTCATTTTGTGTCTGATAGTCATTTCCCCCTTTTGGGGGCTTTTCTTTGCCTCCCGGGTTTTTTTGGCAGATATGACCCAGCAGCTCCTCATCATGGAAATGTTTTTGATAACCCTAATCTCAAGGGTTGTCTATCGGAGAAGGTCCTGTGAGCTAGAGCCTCCAGAGTGTATGGCTGAAGAATCTGAGGCCAACAAGCAGACTCCTAAGATTATCCTGAACGGCGCAGTTAATGAAGATGGATTGCCAAGGTTTTAGAAGCCCTCTGTGCTCCTGTTCTGCCGGAGCTGGAAGCTTCAGGAGCATGTATATTCTTGCACCATAAATAGCCACTGTCCATGTCAGAACAATTTCTGACATAAATGCCTGTGAGCTGTAGTACTGAAAGGACCACTAGTGGAACGATAACCCTGTTTATTCTCCAGTGATATATACATGGTGTGAGTGTTTTCATACCATGCAATTTAGTAAGATTTCATACCATGTACTTTTCTGCTGTTACTGAGCACTTGATGGTAGCCAAGCTCTCTCACAATGTGATTTTATTTTATTTTTATTTTTTAGCTATTAGAATGGCTATGGTTTAGAGTTAATGCAGAGTCATTCTTGCTCATCTCTTTTGACTTTTTAAAATCTTATTTCTCCCTGGACTGCTGTCATATGTTCAACACAGCATTTTCCCATCCTTCCTCCATTAAACTTTATCAGCTCTCATTCTGTGCCACGAGCTCACCATAGCTAATTCTGATCAGTAAATACATTTGCATATGTTTGTTCTGAAATCCCCAAACCTGTCTGGGCTCTCCACCTACAGAAATTATGATCTCTTTAGGGCAAGACTTTTTACATTCCTTGGCAATTCACCTCCTAACTTGGTAAATACACAGTTGCTGTTTGTAAATATGGCACTGGCGGATGTTCTTCCTAGGGACAGCAGATCCTCTGTCCTGGAAAAAGAAAGTAGGAGTTAGAGTCTGAGGTGTCTTCTGCCACTGGTCTGTGACGTTACGTGGTGCTTTGGTTCTCTGCTTGGAAAATGGGAATAATGACACTCAGGATCCTTGTGCTAATGGTGTCTGTGGGGATAAGAGCAATTGAAAGGAATATTGGGGGTGTTGGTCAACAGCTGGCTGAACATGAGCCCACAGTGTGCCCAGGTGGCCAAGAAGGCCAACAGCATCCTGGCCTGTATCAGAAATAATGTGGCCAGCAGGAGCAGGGCAGTGACTGTCCCCCTGTACTCGGCACTGGTGAGGCTGCGCCTCAAGTACTGTGTTCCTGTGTTCAGTTTTGGGCCCCTCACTACAAGAAAGACCTTGAGGTGCTGGAGCGTGTCCAGAGAAGGGCAACGAAGCTGGTGAGGGGCCTGGAGCACAAGTCTTATGAGGAGCGGCTGAGGGAACTGGGGTTGTTCAGTCTGGAGAAAAGGAGGCTGAGGGGAGACCTTATTGCTCTCTGCAACTACCTGAAAGGAGGTTGTAGTGAGGTGGAGGTTGGTCTCTTCTCCCAAGTAACAAGCGATAGGACAAGAAGAAATGGCCTCAAGTTGCGCCAGGGGAGGTTTAGATTGGATGTTAGGAACAATTTCTTCACTGAAAGGGTTGTCAGGCATTGGAACAGGCTGCCCAGGGAAGTGATGGAGTCACCATCCCTGGAGGTATTTAAAAGACATGTAGACGTGGCACTCAGGGACATGGTTTAGTGGTGGACTTGGCAGTGATGGGCTTACGGTTGGACTTGATGATCTTAAAGGTCTTTTCCAACCTAAATGATTCTATGATTCTGTGGAATCTCTTTCAAAAAATTCTTACCTCCCCAGCTTCTTCACCCCAAATCTGACCTGCCCCGGTGTCCAGTAGGGCTTCAAGTATTACAGAATCTTTTCAATTCACACCCATTGTCCTGTTTTGCATAAAACTTTTTTTTACTTTTTGCAAATGATCCTGATGTTCTTGGATGAACCTAATTGCTTTGGTTTAGCTCACTATAATTTATTAAATGATACTGTGTTTAGTAACCATTTGGATATTCTGCTGGGACCGGAGGTGCAGCACTTGTCTATCCTCATCTGGTCTGATCCCTAGAAGTAAACACCCAATCCACACAGCAAGAATTCTTATTCCATATGTAGGTTGGGAAAATGTTTCATGTTGGAAGAGATGTTAGTAACATCTTTTACCTATATTGTATCAAATATAACTTATCATCAGAGCAAAGTTAGACAGGTAGAATCATAGAATAGTTTGGATTATACGACCCTTTAAAGGAAGGGACCTTTAAAGGTCATCTAGTCCAACCCCCCTGTCATGAGCAAGGATATCTTCAACCAGACCAGGTTGCTCAGAGCCCCGTCCAGCCTGACCGTGAATGTTTCCAGGGATGGGGCATCGACCACCTCTCTGGGCAACCTGGGCCAGGGTTTCACCACGCTCAGCGTAAAAAATTTCTTCCTTAGATCTAGTATGAATCTTCCCTCTTTTAGTTTAAAACCATTACCCCTTGTCCTATCGCAACAGGCCCTATTAAAAAGTTTGTCCCCATCTTTCTTATAAGCCCCCTTTAAGTACTGGCAGGCTGCTGTAAGGTCTCCCTGGAGCCTTCTCTTCTCCAGGCTGAACAACCCAACTCTCTCAGCCTGTCTTCCTAGGAGAGGTGGTCCTGCCCTCTGATAATTTTTGTGGCTCTTCTCTGGACCCGCTCCAACAGATACCAGGGCTTTATTTTTAGTATACCTTGAATTAAAAAATGCTTTCAGTTTGGGAGTTCGTGGAAAATGAAATATTCTGAAAACAGCTAGTGAACCATCTGGAAGTAGAAAATGAGGCTGAATTAAACAAAATGTTTTCTTCTTTCTGATTGAGATCAGAAATAATATTTTCTTTAACAATAGAAGGATTCCATTACGGTACAAAAATGGAATTATTCTTCTTTTGAAGTGGTTGAAACAAATTTTATTTTTCATCTTTTTTCTAAGCAGGCAGTCTGGGAAATTAATACAGATTCATGAACTGCATTAATGTGAGATAATCTGCACTTTTCCCTTGAAAAATAATTTAGGTGAAAATTTTCGCTCTGCATTGGAGTGTGTCAGTAGAATTAACTGGGATCAGCTAACGTATTCTTAACATGAGAAATTGTCTTAATGTATTTTAACATTATGGCTATTAGCATATTCCTAATGTTGCTTTATGTCAGTATAGTCAAGGCCACACATACATATGTAGACTTGCAGAGCAGTATTTATTCCATAATGGCATTAGGAATGGTTGGCTGTGAGTTCAAGCAGCTTCAGAGTTGGAAAAGAAAATATTTTAAGTTGGTAAGGAATCTTGTGAATTGCTGTGGAAAAGACTTTAATTACCAGAGCAAATGAGACAAATGAGCATTAATGGAAAATGTTTTCTGTAGTGGTTCTGCGAGCAGCATGCCTTGGTGGGTGGGATCTGTGGCATGGAAGAGCAGATGCATGGACATGCATTCGAAAACAGATGGAGTGTATAGAGAAGTGGTGGTTTCTATAGGTCCAGCAAAGGCAGCTGCTGGGGCACAGCAAGAGTCTTCATCTATTGCCGTTGGTCTGGTATCTGTCGTGTCTCTGAAGTGCTTGTTAAATATATCTTGTAAACATCAGTGTGGGCCTGATTTAGCCACAGGTATCACTAGCTGTTATGCTTTTGGATAGATATTTAATATTTGTTGTGATCTTCATCTGACACATTTCAGCAATAAAATGTACTGTGGTGATTGTCAAGCAGACTTCAGATTTGGGAGTGAAGACATTTCTTTTTACTAGGTACAATCATGGAGGTCTCATTCCAAAAACCACTTGCTTACACAGAACCCTTTTCAGAGCAAAATTGGACATACTTAAATACGTGCGTAAGAGCTTTCCTGAGTTACAGCTTATGTGAATGCAGCAGAAGGTATGGGTCTTATTGTTACAAATTTCTTTTTTTTTTTTTTTTAGCTTTTTAAATTAAGAATTTCTTCCCCACCTCTGCCTCAGACCAATAGCTGTAGCCTGCCTAATCTAGGTGCGGTGTCCAGGTAGGTGCCTGGGAGCTAGCAGCCAGGGGCAGCAGGTCCCTGCATTGCAGTGTGTTCATTCAGGCACTCTTGAAATTAAAACATTGCAAATCACAACCTCCCAGTTGGACTTTAGGCAATCTGAGTATTAAAACACAAATCAGAAAGCCAGAAATTCCTCCAGTCTCAGTTCTGATAAGGATCCCTTTCAGGTCGGTGAAAAAAAATTCCCTTTCAATTACGTGTTTGTGATTAAAGCATTTGAAAACATTTAACGAAAGCTAGCAGATAAATTTCACAACTCATTTTATACAGCTGCTGTAAAGTAATAAGTGTTAAAGTGAGCGCATAATCTTTATGTTATGTTTGCCTGGGATTATCGTGTGAGGAAGGGTAAAGGTAATTTTATCGGTGTCTTTTGTGATGATAAATGGCACCAACACCATTAAATAGAAAGGTAAGCATACACAGAGACCTGTGGTCGAAGGTTAAGAGAGTTCAGGCATTTGGAAGCAATTCATGAGAGCACAGGGGAAAAGATGCATTATGTATTTTGGGTGGCCGTGCGCTAAAGATGCAGGTGTGAAGGTGGACCCTGACCACGAAGCCTCCTGCAGTGTCACACAGGGGTACGCAGCATGAACAGCACACACATGAGACGGGGAGAATGAATGCGAGCACCTTGTCGTGTTGCAGGAGCAGGTTGGCAAACAAAAGCTGCTCAGTGCTCTTCTTTTCCGTCTGTCATTCAAGGTATTATTTTTAAAACAACACTAACTGAGTGCCTCCTGTTCCACAAGACCATGGCGTGGGCTCCTGTTGGCTGCGGCACGGGCAGCGCTGGAACCCTGATGAGGTGTGTGTGTCCCCAGCCTTGCAGTGGCAAGCTGACATTCCCCAGGCAGGGCTAGCTACGGGGACAGCGAAGAGTGTATTTAAGTGCATGCCTTTGTGTTTCATCTCTCTCGGCAGCAAAGGCCTCATGACTTGATACCCAAAGGATTTGTTTCAGGCATTAAGAGGGTGCTCTGCTGATTATAGGCCTTTCTAGCCCTACATCCCCCCTCCAATTGTCCTGTTCCCCAGCCTCGCACTTGCCCCTGCCTCATTCTCCCTGCCCAAGGGAAAAAAGAACCATGGAGTGCTCCTCAGGGAGGAGTGCCAAGGGTGTAGGCTCACTCCTCCAGACCCAGGGCAGCCAGACGACAGAGCCTACTTTCTATGCAGTGTCT